TAAAAGTGACGTTATAACGATACAAAACTTATTCATGAGAATCGTACAAGAGAAGTTAAAAGATTCAATTCTTGCAATCGTTGTATTGGCAAATTAACAAAATATTGGAGAAATCAATAGAATGACACAAGTGTTGTTTAACAAGTGCCGTTCAGCGACACTTGTCTTGTGTCGTTTTATTTATAAACACGAGTATAAATAGGTTCAACCCATTCAAGCCTTGATATTTAATAAGCTGAACTCATTTAAGTTGCAAGATGGACATGCTGTTTACAAAATCTGAGATATATGCTCATTAATTTTATTTTATAATGAAAGTAGATAATTACTCATGATTTCACCCACTCGATATCATATAATCTGTCAATTCAACCATTATTTATCACATAATTAATATTTCTGACTTTCTTAAATTAGTGGGTTCATTGTTTGCAATCATTACAGTGGAAAAAAAGTAAAATATTGGAGAAATCAACATAGCGACACAAGTGTCGTTTACACAAGTGCAGTTAAACGACACTTGTATCGTTTTGTTTATAAATACGAGTATGAGCAGTCACGACTTGTTTGAGCTTCGATAATCGATAAGTTGAACTCATGTAAGTTGTAAGATGGACACGTCATTTACAAAATATTGAGAGATATACTTATTAATTATATTTTGTAACGAATGTAAATAATAACTCGTGATTCTACTAACTCAAGATCATATAATCCGTGTCAATTCTACTGATATTTGTCACATAACTTACATTTTTGACTTTATTAAGTTAGAGAGTCCAATGCTTGAGGTCGTTGTAGTGAAAAAGAAGTAAAATATTTGAGAACTCAACAGAACGGTACAAGGGCCATTATATGACACTTGTGTCTTTTGTTTATAAACACAAGTATAAGTAGTCATGATCGATCCATATCTCGAGAGCTAATAAGTTGAACTCATTTTAGTTGTAAGATAGACATTTAATTTACAAAAGTTGGGTCCTTAATTATATTTTCTAACGGATCAATACAATAACTTATGATTTCACCTATTTAATATCATATAATCTAAGTTAATTCAACTGTTCTTTGTCATGGATCAACATTTTTGACTTTCTTAAGTTAAAAGATCCAATCTTTATGGTTATTGCATTAGAAAATAAGCAAAATATCAGAGAAACCAATAGAACGATGCAATGATAGTTAAACGACATTTGTATCGTTCTGTCTATAAACACGAGTATGAGTGGCCACGATCTATCCGAGTTTTGATATTCGATAAGTTGAGCTCTTTTATGTTGCGAAATGGACGTGCCATTTACAGAATTTGAGAGATATGCTCATTAATTATATTTTCTAACGAATATCAATCATGACCTGTAATGTCTCCCACTTGATATCATATAATATATATCAATCCTGTCGATATTTGTCACATAACTAATATTTTTTACTTTCTTAAATTAGTGGATCCAACGTTTGAAGTCGTTACTGTGGAAAGGAAGTAAAATATTGAAGAAATCAACAGAATGACGCAAATGTCGTTAAACGTCACGTCTACCGTTCTGTCTATAAATACGAATATGAGTAGCCACGACCTGTCCGAGCCCTAATATTCGATAAGTTGAACTCTTTTATATTGCAAGATAGATGTGCCGTTTACAAAATTTGAGAAATATGCTCATTAATTATATTTTCTAATGAATGTAGATCATGACTTGTGATGTTATCCACTCGATGTTATATAATCTATATCAATTATATCGATATTTGTCACATAACTAATATTTTTTTATTTTCTTAAGTTAGGGGGTCCAACACTCGAGGTAGTTATGGTGGAAATAAAGCAAAATATTAGAGAAATCAATAAAATGGCACAAGTGTCATTAAACGTCACGTGTACCGTTCTGTCTACAAGCACAAGTATGGCAGTCAAGACCCATTCGAGCCCCAATATTCGATAAGTTGAACTCTTTTATGTTGCAAGATGGACATATCGTTTATAAAATTTAAGAGATATACTTATTAATTATATTTTCTAACGAATGTAGATCCTATTGTGATATCACCCACTCGATATCATATAATCTATATCAGTTATATCGATATTTGTCACATAACTAACATTTTCGGACTTTATTAAGTTAGGAAGTCCAATGTTAGAGGTCGTTGGTAGTAAGAATGAAGTAAAATATTGGAGAAATCAATAGAGCGATACAAGTGCCATTAAACGTCACACATGCCGCTCTATCTATAAACACAAGTATGAGCAATCACGACCCAATATTCGATAAGTGGAAATTATTTATGTTGCAAGATGGACGTGATGTTTATAAAATTTGAGAGATATACTTATTAGTTATATTTTCTAATGAATGTAAATTATGACTTGTGATGTCACCCACTCAATATCATATAATCCATATCAATCCTATCGATATTTGTCATATAACTAACATTTCTGAATTTCTTAAGTTAGGGGTCCAATGTTCGAGGTCATTTCTGTGGAAATTGAGCAAAATATTGAAGAAATCAACAAAATGGCACGTGTGCCGTTCTATCCATAAGCACGAGTATGAGCAGTCACAATCCGTTCGGATTTCTATATTCAATGAGTTGAACTCATTTATGTTGTAAGATGGTCGTGTCATTAAAAAATTTGAAAGATATGCTCATTAATTATATTTTCTAACGTATGTATGTCATGATTAATGTTATCATTCACTCGATATCATATAATCTATATCAATCATGTTGATTTTTTTTTGCATAACTAACATTTTCGACTCTATCAAATTAGGGGGTCCAATGCTTGAAGTCGTTGCACTGAAAAAGAAATAAAATATTGGAGAAATTAACAAAATGGCATAGGTGTATAAACAAGAGTATTAGTAGCCACGACCTTTTTGAGCCCCTCGATATTCAATAGATTGAACTCATTTAAGTTATAAGATGGACATGTCATTTACAAAATTTTAGAGATATGCTCATTACTTAATCAATATGAAAAAAGAGAACAGCACAAATGCAAGTCATTGTTATGAAATCGGTACAAGTGTCGTTACATATGTAAACATGTATAAATAATTGATACCCTTTAAATTTTAAAATTAATTGCTATCAAATAAATAATATTTAATTTTTGAATATCACTTTTATATTTTTATGGAAGATAACGACTGTAACGTCGTTCTATATCACAGATAACGGCTGGAGTACCATTATCGTCTAATAGTTGCTAATAGTACAAAAATATACCAAATGCAAAAATAAAATTAACTAAAATATCATTTCTTAATATATTCAACAATAAAAGTACCAATATACATGAGATTTCTAAAAAATACATTTCTTTTTTCTTCAAATATAGTAAAAAATTCAATGTACGTAATATGAAAACGAAAATTCTTGTTCAAATGCTCAAAATATTGGTGAAGATAAGTGAATAACAAGATTTTAGGACAACAAGCACAGAGAGTGCACGTGATGCCTTTTGTAGATGAATTTATGAATCTAATTAGATTGAAAGGAGTGTTTGAGTCTTTTCTATGGTGAAGGTGATTTGAACATTTAATATTATTTGTTTATTGTATTTTATAATTTAGGATCGTTTGACCAACAAACATTGAAACAGTGTTATTTAATCAAATACATTGATTGACCAAACTCTCCCAAATTCAAAAAAAAAATATTAAGGTAGTTTACGAAGGAAGCTATTCTGCATGAAAAAGAAGTAAAAACAAAAGTAGCTTCTGTATGAAATAGAAGTAAAAACAAAAGTAATGCCAAAATTTTCACATAATATTTAACAATAAAGTCAATAAAGTGAGCTTTATCCTTTCATTTAGCCCTTGTTTAACAACCTTTATTTTTAGAAGAGTGGGGTTTTTAAATAGTAATTTTTGGAAAATATGTGGTTAGAAAATATGAAAAAATTTAGATTTATGAAAAAAATATTTTATTTTTAGAATGCATGGTTAAAAATGAGTATGAAAAAAAAAGTTAAATGAACGATTACTAAAGAGTAGCTTATCATTTTATGCGTCATCATATGACTCGTCACATAAGCATCATATCCAGTCAGAATGAGAATCCATTATTATATTTATGTTCAATCCAGATCAACACAATATAATAAAATATTCTGTTTATGTTTTCATTAGGTGACCGACATGACAACATATGAATTTGATATTTTGTTAATTTTCCTTTTTTTTTTAAATGACGAAGTGTAATTATTTAAATCACGTTACACAATCAAATTCAATGATAGATTTTTTTAAAATTTTTTTTTAGACAACACTTGATAGGTTTTCATTAAAAATTGAAAAAAAAAGACACATAAAAACACTCATTCACGGACTGCCAAATCACATTTTTTTTTCCTTTTTTTTAAACCCTATTTGTTCAGCATTTCTAATTGGCTTGTACATTCTCTAGAGCAGATAATCATCACTACAAGAATTATTTGATATCTATTTGTAACGATTAATTATTGAAAAAAATTTGTTGGTTATCAATGATCCGTCACCCAAATTACAGATCTATTTCATGTTAATCATTAACATTCGATTTACTTTAATTCAACTATTCAACTTATATTTTTATTGTGATCAACTTTAATAATCAATTCCACGTTACAACACTTGTTAGACACTTAATCAACGGTCGAAAATAATTTGAAATGTAATTCATCCCTAACCCACCTCTACCGAAATTGAAATTATCCGCTTCGGCTAAGGCAATGCGAATAATTTGAATTAATCAATTGATTCGAGTATTGTTCATGCCAAAAATTGAGTAGAATAACTGCTTGTTTGATAAAAAATGAAAAATCAACAATTGTATTAGAAATTTTAACAATCAAATTTCAATTTTAACCACAAATTTTTAAGGATCTGCAACTTTGATCAACTTTTAAAAACGCATTAACATCAATTTTATCATAATTTACTTGAAGTTATAATGTTGTACAAAGCTAATAACTTCTATATGAAACTCTAAAGATGTTACACAAGCATGTCATAATATTATTGAAAATATCGTCTACTTCGATTCAACTTTCATAACTTAATTTTCACATCTAGATGCGACACATGCGGAAGTGATTAGAGAAGCCAAAAGAAGAAAGTCATTGGAATTTGGACGATTACATCCACGAGAATTCAGAAAGAAGACGAGATGACTAAACATTCTGTCCCAATATTTGAGATATTATTAAACCAATAATTTGGTATAGTAACCACTTTTAGTCATTTGAAAGAGGCTCTTTTGTTTCTCCCCACTTGTCCAAATGTTTTCTTGCTTTCTCCACCTGAAAATTCGTTATTTATTTATTTCTTAGAATTAATTCATTTGAATATTCCTGCAAATTTAAGAAATTTTGAAATGACAGGAAATTCACCATTCAGGGTGATAAATTCTAAATAAAAATAAAAAAATAACCACATTTAATGTCATATCACTTGTAGACCTACCCAATAAACAATTCAAAATACCTCTTTATTCCAGTTGGCTCGAAATGTCACCCAAAGCAAAATGATGGTTTGCATCAGTGTTCCTCCAATCATTCCAGACCATATTCCCTATATAAACAAAAAAATGTATTTAATACTTAGTAGTTAGTACCTATTATCAAACATATTAAATATGTTGGTTATTTCTTGTACCTTTATGCCGAGGTGGAATTTGAACCCCAAAAGACAACCAAGTGGAACTCCCACAACGTAGTAACACCCAATATTTACGTAGGCAACAAATGCTTGCCATCCACAGCCAACAGCCACCCCTTCAGTTTCCTCAAAGGCATATCAACAAACATTTGAAAAAGGAAACAACGATAGTGCATTTAGTACATTATACTGAACAACCAAATGGAGTAATTAACAAACATTTTAACATGTGTTTTCTTTTATCATTTTCAATTCTATAAACCAATAATTTTGATTAAATAAATATCGAGGCCAATAAGGCTTGATGGAGTAAATGTTTGTCGAGTTATTACCTGACAAGACAGGTTGGATACCATTGAGAATGATGGTAATTGATAAGAATGGACAGAGTTCTGATACTGCATTAGCCACCGTTTCGCCACCCGTGAATATGTAGCTAATTACATGACGTTGTGATAATATGACTGCAGCAACCATCACGGCAAGAATGAATGAAACAAGATTGACCACGAAAACAGAAAAGGCTGCTGACTTAGGGTTCCCTGCTCCAAGCTCATTGCTCACTCGAACGCTGTTAATCTCAAATTGATTGAAAACGTATTAAAAATTATCAAATGATATAGTTATTAAAATCTTAATTTATTTTTAATTTAAATATCGTGCAATACTATCTATTTTATCTAACCAAACATGTCATAAAGAGTATAAATTGCTAGATTAACTGACCTAGCAGCAGCATTGAACCCTATAGCAATCATGTATAATATGCTATTTATTGACAAGCTGCACAAAATTCAAGATCAAATCAAGGTATGCTACAATGTCGTTTTTTTGTTAAATATTAATTAACTCAGTCAAGCTTGAAATGTTCTATAGTATATGCATTCAAGTTCGTACGATAAAAATTTTCGATTATCGTGTATAAATTTAACGGATGAGATAGAAAGAAAATAATCTTACATACCATATCGAAAGTGCATCCAAGGCAAGTTCAGGGTTCTCAACAAGTCCTGCAATCAAGACTAGTACCTGAAGGTACCACGTTTCTAAGCACAGCATCACTGCTGAGCCAATTGATAATTTCATAAATTCCCAAAGCCCATTAAAAGCCTCCCATTTGAATCCATTCCAAGTGGGCTTACATTTTGGGCTCAATAAGATATAAACAAACTGGGCCACAACAATGATCCACCAAGAAAAACTCAATACCATCGATAACCCAGTTAATCCAAGACGGATCTTGTACACTGCAACCCAGGATAAGAGTACATGCACCCCAGCAGTGGCCAATGAAATATAAGCACTGGGGTGTACTAAACTCTGTGCTTGAAGAAATTTTTGTATTGGAAAGTTGACGGTGTATGCAAAAAGCTGTGGGATGAGGCCGTGGACGAACACTGCTGCCAGTGATGCCACGTCTTTTGATTCATGGATGACAATTAAGATTTGTTTCGAAAATATATAGATTAAGGTTATTGGAAGACTGAACAAGAAAAGAACCACAGTTGCTCTTTGTAAATAGATGCCTAACATTTCATATCTCCCGGCACCATATGCTTGACCACATAAGGTTTCGACCGCACTTCCCATTCCTAGCTGCATGACATACGTGCATTAGTTAAATCGTCTCATCTAAAAATTTAAATTCTAATTCTAGTATAACTCTTACGTGCAAGTCAAATTCATGGGTCATTACTATTACATGTACACAAATTTAACAAACGGGCATAATAAGACATGTATTTTACTCGATTGTTGAGTTAGAGATGAGTACGTAGGTACGTACAAGAAGGCCAAAGGCAAATAGTTGAATGCCGTTGTTGCCAAGATTCGTAGCTGCAAACTCAAGATTGCCAAGGTGACCAGATAAGATCCTGGTAGCATTGATCATGGAATTGTTAATCAAGTACATCATGATTGCAGGTGCAGCAAGTCGAAATAGGGTTTTTATTTCAATCCATGATGCCATCACCAGCCGCTTCAGACACGGCAAACTAGTGTTCGATAGCACCTTTTCGAGGTCTGAGCTTAATTCATCGGCAGGTCGATTGAGTCCATCTCCAGATTGCGCCATTTTTACTTTCAATGTGTAGAGAGAAACAGGTTCACCTCAAGTTTGATTGTAAGCATTCAATATGTAGTTGAGAGTTGGAATTTAAAAGCTGCTATCGTCAATTCTGAATTAATGTTTGTAATATTGTATTGAATTCAAGTTGTCTACAATCAAGTAAGTCATTTAATGTGGCATTAAATAATTAGGTGATGTGCTAAATGAAATGTAAAATTAAATGACTTACTTATCATTTAATGTCGCATCATATAAACTAGAATTATAACTCCAATGAGACTAAATAACATTATTTAATATAGTTGTCTAGTCGATTAGGCGATCGACATGACGATGCATGAATACACTGCTTGACAATTTTTTGCTCGGTGAAATTTCAATATTGATTATACATTTCTTAAATACTACATGTTTATTATTCATACATTTTATAAGATTCAATATTATTCCTCCTACAATATTCCTATTAAGTTTAGACGAACATAGCATATATAAAAGGCTTAGTTCTCATGACATTTGTTTTAACAAGCAAGTACACTTGTCTTGACTATGGGGTGTGTTGGAAGAGTTTCATAGCGTCCACTTGCCATGCACATGCACGGGTGTTTGACAAAATAATTTGGTAAAATGGGAGGTAGACATTTTTCGTTTTTAAAAGTATATTTAGCCCCTATTAAATGAAGATTTTTGAGATTAAGGGGTGTATTTAATTGAGATTTTTAATGATGTTTTAGAATTTAAAAAGTTTAGGATATTTAATGTAGACTTTGTCAGATCATATAAAAGTCACGATGTATTCAATTAAAATTTTTTAGAAATTTCTATAAGTTTTGAAGTATTTAAATTTTAATGACTTCTAGAGGCTTTTATAAAAGTATTTGAAATACTAAATTTTAAGCAAAAAGTACTCATATAAAATCTCAAAATTTGTCTCTCATTAGTCATGAAATTTTGGGAGACTTTCACATAAAAAAATCTTTTTTTTTTTCAATACGTTTCCTTCATTTTTCTTTATACTAACATTAGAAATGTGATTATAATTTATTTTTTTCTATTGATTTTATTTGTTTCCATGTATCTTTCTCTCTCTTATTGTTTCTCTCTATTTTTTATAAAAAAAAAAATTAAATTAGATTCGTATAACTTTTTTTTCATTATTTTTTTGTGAAAAATATATATTTGATTCTTATTTATATAATTAAGGTCTTAAATTTTTATTCTATTTAGTATAATTTTTTTTATAACATGAGTAGAGGATAGATCTGGGCAAAAAATTGAAAAATCGATCAAACCAATCAAATCGAACTGACTCGGGTCAGTTTGACACGGGTAATTGGTTTAGTTTTGTTTTCATTTAAAAAAAACTATGGTGCTTTGGTTTGATTATGGTTTGAAGCCTCAAACCGCTAGTTAACCGAACCAACACAACTCACTTATATACTTACCTTTTTTTTAAGAAAAATAAAAATTAAAAGATAAACCCTAATCTCATAACTATATCATGATTCCCTCTAAACTATAATGTTGTTGGTAAGTAATAGTATTGAAAACTTTCTTTCATAATCCCATTATGTTATACTTAGTCTTTTTTTCCTACTTAGGTAGTCAGATTACATAATGTACATAAATGCAATAAAATTCTTAAGTTTTCTGTTAATCTATCTCTAGCAACCTGATTTTATTTGTTAGTCAATAATTCTTATAATATAAAGTTATTTAGTTATTTTAGTTTTTGTTATCTAATTGGGCCCAAAACTTGGACATTTTTTTAAAAATTCAATTGGAACTAAAAATCCAAACCGATTAACTGAACCAATTTTGTTCGGTTCTGTTCGATTTAAGAGTTAGAGTGGATTGGTTTTGATTTCAAGTTGGAGTCAAAACCATCAAAACCAATCCAAACCAAACCGCGCACAGGCCTAATAGAGGATAGGGAAGAGAAATTGTAGGAACTACAACCTTGTATGTGAGAATTTTACATTATTGCACTAGATCCACGTGAATTCTATTTCAAATGAAAGTCTTCAAAAAGTCTTTTAAATTCTTCAAAAATCTACAAAAGTTTTAACCCTTGTTTTGGCTCCATTTTTTCAAATTATAATGAAACGAATAGTAATTTTTTGAAATATGCGTAGTTAAAATTAAAGAATTTTTTTTTAGGTTTACGCATAATATTATTTTATTGGAGAATGTGTGATTGATAAGAAGAGTGAGAAAAATGAATTTTAATTTAATGAAGCTAAATAGGGCTTAAAATGAAAGTTTATAGAAGTCTACGAAAGACTTCAACTAATTCTATACAAATCTATGAAAAGTCCACGAAATCCACAGAAGTTTTTAAGCCTCTTTCAACGAGGGCTCTAGGCCTTGCTCGGTGGTGGCTGCATAGGCGAGAAAACTTCGGCCCACACTCCACATCATTCTGCACATGGCAAATTGGCTGAACTCCTATTGACCAAACCCACATAAAGAGCTGAGCCCCCAAGGACGAGACGAGGTTGGTAGAGGCAACTCTGGGAAGATATTCATATAAAATCTCCTAGCAAACGGGTGATGTGACAACACTCAGCATAGGTGGCTCTAATCAGTCAATGAGCCAATCCTAGTCTTACATGTCAGATTTAGGATTGTAGGTGGTCATAACATTAAATGGATTGATATATATGATAAGAGTTCACAATCACTAAGATAAGGCTTCGTGTTCCTTCATCCAATGGTTCTTACTCACTTTCATCTACTATAAAAGCTCACATTTTGTGTCATTCAAAAGTAATGAAAGTTTAGTTTCTCGAACTATAACTTAGTCATACCACTGTTTTATTCCCAAAAAAATCGACCCTCTTTTTACATATTGAGGGCTCACGTTTAAAGTCCTCTTACACTTATATGTTTTCTTTACCAACTGACTTGATCGTTGAAGTACGCATGATCGTCTCTACCCCATTGGAGAAGGCCACGTGTGACTAACGGTTTGTCCTAGTGTACAGGAATAGGGCTTGCGTAGACGTGAGATGTTTTGAGATCTGTTGGCCACGTTTGAAGTAATTTTTTTGAGGTCAATAGAAGTCATCGCTTAAAAGAATTCCATCAAAATCTTCAAAAGTCTCAATTGGATACACTTCGTATAAATAGTTGAATCCTATAAAATGTGATTAAAATTAAATTTAATCAGCTTATAATTTAAAAGGTTCGATCAAATAGAGGCTTATTATGCTAGAGGTGAGGTTGAAACCATCCTCTAAAGATTGTACTTTATTTTTTCTAAATATCATTTGGCTATCAAACATGTTATGATTTCAATCACATTTGCATACAATTTAAAAAAAGAAAAAAATGATCGATCACCCAATAATAGATTCATTTCACGTCAATCAATTAATTTCGATTTCACCATTCAACTTATATTTTTATTTCGACTTGAATATATTGTGTGCTCAGAATTAACAAAAAAGCCAGATGAACAGGTCCAAAAACAGGAGCACCACTATTGGAGGAGGGGTTGTTTTCAAGGAGCACGGTTGGAGAATTAATACTCAATTCCACGTAATTGATGAAATGTGTGACACAACATTTGTTAGACATTAGATCAACGGTCTGACGAAAATTATTTGTAGTGTAATCCAACCTTACGTGGAACGGAATAAATGTTTGTTTGATAAAAAAAATCCTAAAACTTATATCAAATTTCATGGGACCCACAATTTTTTAACAAATTTCAATTACATTAACATCAACCTGTTTCAAAATTTACCAAAACTTTTATTTGTGAGAAGTATGTTGGATAATAACTAGTTGCAGTAATTTGTAGAGCAGTAAAATGGAGAAAATAAAACTTATTGACTGATCAAGTCTCGTAATAACACGATGTTCTAGAGTGAAATTGCCTGTCATTAACTGTTGCAACCTCTTTGGACAATCATTCTCAAGATACAATGATCAAACAAACCACTTATGTAATAATTTTAAATGATTTTAGAGCTCCCAAATGTACTTCAAAAGATATATATAATAAAAAAATTATTTAATAATCGCCTGTGAAGTGACTTGAACTCATGAATTTCATACTTTCCACCAATTAAGCCCTTCATATAAGTTAGTTTTGTTTTTCAAATAATATATTTATTATATAAATATCTAACAGAATATTGTTGGAGATGACTTATAAAAAGGGTTATGTAAGGGTTGGGTTGGTTTTTGATATATTTATTTGACCAATTTTAATCCGCAAGAGCGTGATCAAAACACAATTTATATGAATGAAAATTTGGACAGAGTTTTGGTATAACGATTATGCAAAACAAGGATTAAGAAGGAGTAAAAATAGAGAATAATCCAAGGCGAGACGTTATCTCTTTCCTCAAGACAAATTGTCTCCCTACGGTGCTCACAGTGAATGACACTTGTCTCCCAAAATACAATGAATTCACAACTTGTGGTAGCAGCATTTCAAACCACAAGAAACCAACGAACTTTTGACAAAATTTCCCATCTACAAAGGAAATGTATGAAAATGTTATGGAATTAGAAATGAGAGAATTGCAAGAGGAGACTGAATGCTCAATGCAATTGGTGTACCCAAAACCATGTCCATAGAGTCTTATTTATATATGTAGAAATGGTGCAAATAAAGTAGTGTGAGCCAAAACATGCATCCTTTCGAAAAGTTGCAACACTTCATTTCTTCCAACTTTGGTCCGCAATTTCTCATTCATCCGGAATTGATTTCGAGATTCCAAATAACACATTTTCATTATCCACTTTTACACACCTTTTCATTTTCCAATTGTTGGTTAATTATTTGAACCAATTCCTACAATCCCCCACATGAATGGAAATTCGAGTACGCATATGAAAATGCGATGATATGATGCAATGTAGATAGGGTGCGAAAAAATACTGCATCAGAGATGGTGGCTTCTGGCCTTGAACCTCCCTTAGTGAAATACTATCGGACTTACTCGGCTAATTGGTGAACCATAGGTCTTGAACCACTCGGCCTTTGGTGTAAGTCAAGATAACAGTACTCACACAGATATCTTCCCTATTTTGTACTTAGGTCTCATGACTTGGTTCATTTTGGCCCTTAACTCTTCTTGGTTTCATAAGTGTTTAGAGAATTCAAACTTTAAACAATTCTTATCGAAGCAGCCAC